TAACTGGATGTGAAGTTTGTTTTAATTTTTAGCTATTTATAGGTAATACCATTTGTATATGATTTATTTTTTCCTGTTAGAACTATTTTCTTATGCTAAATTATCAAGATTAGGATAACTAGCCGAAACCGGTTTGGCTCAGTGGATAGAGCGTCGGCCTGCGGATTGAAAGGTCCCAGGTTCGATTCCGGTCAAGGGCATGTACCTGGGTTGCGGGCACATCCCCAGTTGGAGATGTGCAGGAGGCAGCTGATCGATGTTTCTCTCCCATCGATGTTTCTGACTATCTCTCTCCCTTCCTCTCTGTAAAAAATCAATAAAATATATTTAAAAAAAAAAAAAAGATTAGGATAACTAAAACAAACTGTTTTGCATTATCTTTGACTTTAACCCCTAGCCCATACCCTTGCCCCAATCAGTGAATTACCAAGTGTTGATTCTTTGATAATGTACCTGACATCAGTCTCTTCCTTTCCATTCTCACAGGTTCAGCCAATTCTGTCCCTATGCCAGGATTATTGCGATCTTTTTTTTTTTTTCCTAGCTGATTTCCCCAGTCTCCAATGTTTCCCTTTCCAATTCTTCTCATCATGCCAGATTAATTGTCCTAAAGCACTGCTTTGGGTAAAAGATTCATTTGTTTGACAAATCCTTATTGAATGCATGCCATGCAGCAGACATTACATCCCTTAACTGGCATTTCTAGGTATGAACATCCTCCCCTCATTTACTTTTGCACCAGCCCTCTGATCCAGCCGGACTGGTCTAGTCACCATCTCCTGAACATTCCATCTACATTACCATGACTGAAATTTTGTTTTAGAATGAGCTTCTGTTTAGAATTCATTCTGCTTCCCTTTTCTCAGTTTTTGATTATTTCTTCAAAGCCCCACTCAAGTTTCAGCCCTCCCTCCCTGAAGCCTCTCAGTTTTTACTCTTGTGTCTTGTCTCTGCACTTGATCTTAGCCAAAAGGCCAAGAAGCAATTTTTCTCTTGTCTCTAAACTGTCACAGCTAAGCAAACAATATCTTCATTCTCTTTTATTCGCAAGATAAAGCTCTGAGTTCCTTGACCTTGTTTTTAAGGCTTTCTAAGATCTGGCCCTATTTTTTTTTTAATTAAATTGATTTCAGAGAGAGGAAAGGAGAGGGAGAGGGAGAAACATCAATGATGAGAGAGAATCAATCATTGGTTGGCTGCCTCTTGCACGCCCCCTATTGGGGAGATCTAGCCCCATTTTTTATTTCCAACCTGGCTTCCTATTATTCCCTAAAACGAATGGTCTGATTCCTCTGGACTCCTCTACTTTCTGTTCCTTAAATACTCCATGCCGCCCTGGCTGGGTTGCTCCATTGGGTAGAGCATCATCCTGATAAATCAAAGTTGCTGGTTCAATGCCTGGTCAGGGCACATACAAAAATGGGTGGAGCAATAGGTTGATGTTTCTCTCCCTTCCTCTCTCTCTAAAATCAATAAATAAAAAAATTAAAAAATATTCCATGCCCATTCCCGCCTCCTTGCCTTTCTTTGCTCATGTTTGTTCTTTCTCCCATCCCTTTTAGCTGTCAAATCTTACTGATTTTCTTTTTGTTTTATAAATATATATTTAAAAAATATAGAGAAACATCAATAATCAGAGATAATCATTGATTGGTTGTCTTCTGTATGCACCACATGGGACAGAGCCCACAACCCAGGCATGTGCCCTAACCAGTAATCAAACCTTGACCTCCTAGTTCATAGGTCGATACTTAACCACTGAACCACACTGGCTGAGTACAGATTTTCTTTTTTCTTTTTTAAAATATATATTTTATTGATTTTTTACAGAGAGGAAGGGAGAGGGATAGAGAGTTAGAAACATCGATGAGAGAGAAACATCTATCAGCTGCTTCCTGCACACCCCCTACCAGGTATGTGCCCTTGACCGGAATTGAACCTGGGACCCTTGAGTCTGCAGGCCGACACTCTATCCACTGAGCCAAACCGGTTAGGGCCATATTTGCTTTTTGAACAAAAAAACAACAACAACTCCTGTTACAATGTATAATCCATGTGGGAGGCCCATATACTTAAAAATGAGTAATACAAGATATATACTAGTAGTATAGGTAGGCAAAAGTAAGTTTACAATTTGTATGAAAAAAAGACATGCAGGTTATGATTATTACAATAGCTTTATTAACTTGTGTTCTGAGTACTCACCACTGTAAACCTACTTTTGTCAAACCCTGCATATATCTATATATATATCTATATCTATATCTATCTATCTATCTATTCACATATATATGTATGTATATATAGATATATCATTTTTTGTTAATGGTTTCTACCACCTATTCCTCTTAAGGTAACTCAAATGTCCAGGACACTTGGAGGTTCCCTAAGACCTTTATAGGAAATCTACAACCATGACTATTTTCAGAATATATAAGATGTTATTTGCCTGTTTGCTAGATTGACATTTTCACTGATAAGCAAAAGCAGAGGTGGGTAAAACTGCTGGCCCCATAGCACTAATTAAGGTAGTGGCACCAACTATACTCATCATTGTATTTTTCACTGCCACATGCTTGCAGTAAATAATGCCAGTTTTTCACTTAATATTCTTTATTATTAATTTGATTAAACCCTGGCCCTTGAAATAAACATTTTTGTTTATTACTTTTCCTGGTTTTATTGAGATATAATTGACATATAACATGTAAGTTTAAGGTATATATTGTGAAATGTGTACCACAATAAGGTTAGTTAACACATCCTTCATCTCACAGAGTTACCATTTTGTTGTTACGATGAGAACATTAAAGCGCTACTCTGATAGCAAATTGCAAATATACACTTCAATATTGGTAACTATAGTCACCATGCTATACCTTAGATCCCTGGAACTTAACGCATCTTATAACTGAAAGTTATACATCTTTTAAATGTTCTCTCTGGACTAAATGGGAAGTAAACGTGAAACATTTTGCTGCACACTGTAGACGGTGTCTCAAGGAAAAGTACTGGCGCAGCTGTACCAATTACAAGCTAAATAAGCTTCCTTCTCATAGAACACATTTTTACTTGAAAAAACCACTGACAAACTGGTAATTCAGACCTGGATATCTGATAGGCACTTTGCTGAAAATGAAGGAAGTGAGCCTGTCATTTTAAGGAAAACAACTGACAGTGTTTGTTGCAGTGATAAGATTCAAGGCTTCAAGTGAACATTAGAATTTTGGAAAACTTGTATCTGCCACTGAGAGCTTGAAAGCTTTCCAATAAAACTTTCTGATGATATTAACAAATATTGTATGGTTAAATGCATAATATTACAAAATACAAGTGCGAGGGGGAATCATGAAATAAAAAAATGTTTGAGGATCACTACCCATTTTTCTGCAACTTACTCTTTTACTTAGTATATTTTGAACACCAGTCAAGGTCAGTGCATTTATATCTAAAATTCTTTTCCAGCCCTAACCGGTTTGGCTCAGTGGATAGAGCGTCGGCCTGCGGACTCAAGGGTCCCAAGTGCGATTCCGGTCGGGGGCATGTGCCTTGGTTGCGGGCACATCCCCAGTGGGGGGTGTGCAGGAGGCAGCTGATCGATGTTTCTCTCTCATCAATGTTTCTAACTCTCTATCCCTCTCCCTTCTTCTCTGTAAAAAATCAATAAAATATATTAAAAAAGAAAGATTAAAAAAAAATAAAATAAAATAAAATTCTTTTCCAGTCCTGGCCGGTGAGGCTTGGTTGGAGTGTTGTCCCTTACACCGAAAGGTCATGGGTTCAATTCCCAGTCAGGGCACATACCCAAGTTGCGGGTTTGATCCCTTCAACCAAGCTATGTTTTTCTCTCTCCCTCTCCTTTCCCCTCTCTCTAAAATCAATAAAAACATATCCACCTGTGAGGATTAAGAAAAAACCCCAGCCCTAGCCCGTTTGGCTCAGTGAATTGAGCGTCAGCCTGCAAACTGAAAGGTCCCAGGTTCGATTTCGGTCAAGGGCACATGCCCGGGTTGCAGGCTCGATCCCCAGTTGGGGGCTTGCAGGAGGCAGCCGATCAATGATTCTCTCTCATTATGGATGTTTCTATCTCTCTCTCCCTCTTCCTTCCTCTCTGAAATCAATAAAAATGTATTTTTTTAAAACAGGAAACAACAACAACAAAACTTCCATAACAGCATGGTGTGCCATCATGGGGATGACCCACATCCATTTAATCATCCATATATTAATGGCCATTCAAGTTGCTTTCCTCTTTTTGTTAAATAATGCAGCACCAAACATTCTTTATTTTTTAATCATCGCCCAAGGATATATTTTTTTAACTGATTTTTACAGAGAGAGAGGGGAAGAAAGAGAAACATTGATGTGAGAGATTGCCTCCCATACACACTGTGATTGCACCCTGACCAGGATGGAACCTGCAACCCGGGTATGTGCCCTGACTGGGAATCGAACCCACGACCTTTTGGTGCATTCGATGACAGTTCAACCAACTGAGCCACACCAGCCAGGGTGCAACAAACATTCTTTATATATATCCTTGTGCATTGATGCTCCTTATATCTATAGTATGGATTCCTAAAAGTGGACCTGATTTTTACAATCCATCTTAATAAAAGTTCCCTTCTTACAACATCTTCTCTGGTCATTTCTCTTTGTTTTTACTCCTTTTTAGCCTCTTAATCATTTACTGTCTTTTGATGTGTACATGCTATTGTCTTGCTTTTAAAGACTCTTCCTCTGTGCCTGTCTTGCCTTGCCAACTAGATTATGAAACTAGAAATGCCCTGAGGGAGGGATGGTGTGTTTTACAGTGTATAGACACTCAATAAATAATGACCAGAGCAGGATTGAAGGTTGTTATGAGAAAGGGACACCTTAATGGTTCCATTTAGTGTCCACAGGGATGCTGAGGAAAGCTGTGTGCATTCATGTGTTCTTTCATCTTGGGAACAATTTGAAAGTTAGAGTAACTCTCCAACTTGATTCTCTCATTTCAGGCAAGTACATTGCCTCAACACAGCGACCTGACGGGACCTGGCGCAAGCAGCGGAGGGTGAAAGAAGGCTATGTGCCCCAGGAGGAGGTCCCCGTGTACGTGGTTAGGCGTGAGGAGCGGGTATTTAATGGGGTCCCTACAGAGAGAAAGAACATGTATGCCCATGAGTTCAGGGAAGAATTTTCTGATGCCCAAATCTCAGGAATGGGAGGGGACAACTGAGAAAGGAGAGGCAGGGGTTGGGATACAGGGATGAGTGAGGGTTACAAGGGACTAGTCATGTTCCTATGGCCTCTGTTCATCAGAACCTCCAAATAGCATTCAGAGATCCAGAGCTCTGAAACCTAGGGGCCCTCCTAAAACCTGCAAAGCGGAGGAAAGTTGGGGAGGGGCCAAGGGGGAGAAAGCAAGCAGAGAGATGAAAAGGGTAAAGTGATTTGGAAGGTTAAGAAAAGGGCTCTAAAGTCAGTGATTCTCTAACTGTTGACATCTGCTCCCTGCAGGTATGAGAACAAGTATGTGAAGTTTTTCAAGAGCAAACCAGAACTGCCCCCAGGGTTGAGCCTCGAGGCCATTGCTCCTGTCAACCCATCAAGGTCTGAAGGTGGGGAACCAGGCCTCTCCAAGACAGCCAAACGCAACATGAAGCGGAAGGAGAAGAGGCGGCAGCAGCAAGAGAAAGGAGAGGCGGAGGCCTTGAGCCGGACTCTGGAAAAGGTGTCCCTGGGAGAGACAGCTCAACTCCCCAGTGCTCCACAGGGCTCCCGGGCAGCCCCCACAGCTGCCTCTGACCAGCCTGACCCAGCTGCCATCACTGAGAAGGCCAAGAAGATAAAGAACCTAAAGAAGAAGCTTCGGCAGGTGGAAGAGTTGCAGCAGCGGATCCAGGCTGGAGAAGTCAGCCAGCCCAGCAAAGAGCAGCTGGAGAAGCTAGCAAGGAGGAGGGTGCTGGAGGAGGAGCTCGAGGACTTGGAGCTCGGCCTGTGAGGCCTTTGGGGAATTGGGAATGGACTACAACAAACCATGGGGCTTTCTGGGGTCCTGGGGAACATGGCAGCAGCAGTCAGGAGGGGTACGCCCCCCTTACTGGCTCACTTCCCTCTCTCATGGCCCAACTCTGTCCTCCAGAGCCTAGCCTCTCCCTCATTCCTTCCCTTTTCTTCCAAACTCCTATTTTTTAGACGTTTCCCCTTCCCATTCCCAGTGTTCAAAAACCTCAGTGACTCCCCCAGGCTCCTTTGCTGCTGATTTGGGTGTCTTATTCAAAAGAAAATTGGGTGGGTGGGACTCTCGGGAACTGAGGTTGAGGGTAGGGGGAGTATGCCCAAGTCTTGGAGTCTTGATTCCTGTTCACAGTGTTTATGGGTTATTTCCCCCTCAATCCCTGACCTCTTTTTTTTTTTTTTTTTTTTTTTTAAGAACAGAATAAACAAATAGACAAATTGTCTAGCTTTGCCTCTTTCTTTTCAACTTCTAGTAGGTATTTTATTCCCTCCAGTTTGGCACAGGAAGACAAGTTTTGGGAGTAATCATTTTTAAATTTTTTTTATTAATCGCCACCCAAGGATAGCTTCCCATTGGTTTTTTAGAGAGAGTGGCAAGGAGGGGGAGAGACAGAAACATCCATATAAGAGAGAGACATGGATTAGTTGCCTCCTGCACAGGCCAGGGATCGAGTCTGCAACCAAGGTATGTGCCCTTGACTGGAACCAATCCCGGGATCCTTCAGTCTACTGGCCAACGCTCTATCCACTGAGCCAAACCAGCTAGGGCTCGAGTAATAATTTTTCATTTTTATTTTTTATTGATTTCAGAGAGGTAGGGAGAGAGAGAGAATCATTGATCGGCTGCCTCCTGCACTCCCCACACTGGGGATTAAGCCTACCACCTGGGCATGTGCCCTGATTGGAATCGAACTGTGAACCTGGCTGGAGTAATAATTTTTAACAGTTATGAATGTATGACCAAATGAGCAACACTGATTTCTGTATGTTTGGTTAGATTTCAGTGAACAGAAATTAGTGTTATAATAAAATGAAACTTAGAACAAATTTCATTTGACATGCTAATTTGCATGTGTCATCACTGTGTTGCATAGCAGTGGGGCCTTTGTAACACCATTACTTTCTTTCTCAATTATCAGGGTTCTCTCCAGCGAGTCTTCTGGTCATTATTCAGGAAGTTTTTCTGTATTTTAGTTGTAATTCCAGTTTGGTCCTGGGAGCGTATCTGTGCATCATTCACTTACTCTGCCGCCATTTTTAATCTTCCCTTACTGTTTCTTTCTAAGATAATCAACTTGCTTCACGGCTTCTTTGGGGCAGCTCATCTGAAATTTTATCTTATCGGATGCCACCCTAAGATAACATTGTGGGGCAAATTAATGATACAAGTAAAGAAATTTACAGCCAAAAAAGAGCTGCCACTGAATGTTTTCATGAGCTCTGATTTCCACTCCTTCACCTATCAATCTTTCTTTCTAGTCAGCTGCTGGTGCAGAAACCAACAGAGGGGGATGTCAGTAATGACCTTTTTCAGGAGTTCGAAGTTCTTAGCCTAAAGGTCCCACTCAGTCTGGCCTTGTTTCTTGCCATTCCTCAACTCTGGTCAAACTGCTCCAACTTTACTGAACGATTTTCAGTTCATCAAATGAGTCATATTCTCTCTCAACCTCAGTCGTTTACCCTTACTGGTTCCTTTGCCTACATTCGCTTCCTTATCACTTGCACTTAACCTTGGTAATGGTGTGTATTACATTATGTTGTCGTGCTGTTTACTTGTTAACCCCTCTTCCTCATCAATCAGGGGGGCCTCAAGCCCTGAGCTTGTGTTTAACATCATTGCGTCCCAGTGCATAGTAAACTCTCAAATATTTGACTGAGTGAATGAGGCTGCAAGCCACATGGAGAAACAGAAGAGGAGGGATAATTTGTGCCTTGCCAAAAAAATGAGGACTCGACTAGGCACCTCAGTGTGAGACCAACAGCCTGCACTCTCTTGTGTAGGACCTCTACACAATTATAAGGATTTTATAAATAAGGTTTAATTGGCTTATATGGAGGAGTTTGATGCTTTGTAAGTTTAGACGTTTCTGAGGAATCTATACTTTTAAAACCATTATTTGTTTTGCAAAAGGATTCACTTCAGTAAACCTTCAACTTTCTTGGGTCTTTAGTGGTTTGATTAAAGTTTATTTTGTTATTTGTTGGGCTCTGTCAGTCATTTTGCTAGTTGGGAGGGATGCAATTATGAATACATTGTAGACCCTTCATTTGAAAAAGCTATTAAATTGTGCAAGTCACAAATTAAGTGCTTGACAGATTTAATTAAGTTCTATGGTAGAGGTATCAGCAATGTGTTGAGGGAGAGCTAAGAAAGAATTTATTTTGATTTAGGGTATGGAGAGGCTTAATGGTGGAGTTGGATTTTGAAAAAGATCATTACTTGCATCTCAAGAAAGGCAGGGATGCCCTAGCCAGTTTAACTCAGTGAATAAAGCGTCAACCTGCGGACTAAAGGGTCCTGGGTTCGATTCCATTCAAGGGCACATGCCTGGTTTCAGGCTCGACCCCCCAGCAGGGGGCGTGCAGGAGGCAGCTGATCAATGATCCTCATCATTGATGTTTCTATCGCTCTCTTTCTCTCTGAAATCAATAAAAATACATATTTTTTAAAAAAGAAAGACAGGGAGGCTCTGGCCGGTGATCTCAGTGGTTTGAGTGCCGGCCTGTGCACCAAAGAGTTGTGGGGTTCAATTCCTTGTCAAAGGCACGTACCTGTGTTGCAGGTTCCAGCCCCAGTCAGGACTTCTGCGGGTGGCAACCGATTGATATGTCTCTCTCACATGATCATTGATGTTTTTCTCTCTCTCCCCCTCACTCCCTCCCTTCCTTCCTTCCTCCTTTCCTCCCTCCATTCTCTGTAAAAAGCAATGGAGCCCACCAGCGTGGCTCAGGAGGTCACGGTTCAATTCCCGGTCAGGGCACATGCCTGGGTTGCAAGCTCGATCCCCAGTGTGGAGCATGTAGGAGGCAGCTGATCAATGATTCTCTCTCATCATTGATGTTTCTATCTCTCCCTCTTCCTTCCTCTCTGAAATCAATAAAAATATATTAAAAAAAAAAAGCAATGGAAAAAATATCCTCAGGTGAGGCTTGGCATCATGAAAGGCAGGTATGAATTTGCTTTCAGTTTTTCTTTCCTTTTTTTTTATTGATTTCAGAGAAGAAGGGAGAGGGAGAGATAGAAACATCAATGATGAGAATCATTGATTGGCTGCCTCCTGCATGCCCCTTACTCGGGATGGAGCCTGCAACCCGGGCATGTGCCCTTGACCTGAATCAAACCCAGGACCGTTCAGTCCACAGGCTGACGCTGTATCCACTGAGCCAAACCGGCTAGGGCTGCTTTCAGTTTTTCAGGACCATGTTTCCTTACATAAAATCAATGTTGCCCAGCCAGTGTGGTTCAGTGGTTGAGCATCAACCTATGAACCAGGAGGTCACGGTTTAATTCCTGGTCAGGGCACATGCCCTGATCACCAATAGGGGATGTGTAGGAGGCAGGTGATCAATAATTATCTCTCATCATTGATATTTCTATCCCTTTCTCTCTGAAATCAATAAATATATATTTTTAAAAATCAATGTTAATCACCTGATATAGGACGAAAATTTGCACATAAGCTGTGTTTTTCTAAATGTGGGTAATGAAGTGAATTTAGAAAGTTGTGACTAGTATAGAAAATAGCAGATATTGATGCTTAATAAGGGTAAATATGTCTCATGATACTTTTGTTTCAGAAGAAATATTTCTTACCTTGGTTTGCAGGAAAATACATTTGAAAGCCACCAATAACATCAATACTGAGGGGCTGAAGCATCACACACTCCCCTCTGGTCTGTGTTTGCGGTGGGTGGGCTGGGAGGATATTAGTTTAACTATTTCCCCAACAGACCCTTATTTGCTATGGCAAAGTAAATTCGCCCCGGGCTTTCTTTTCACTCCTGAAGCTATATTACGATTTATTTGGAAGTTCTTTCCTCGTTGCAGATGATTCCCTTCTAATGTATAAATAGCAAAGATTCTAGGGATCTAGAAGTGAATTATTTTAGGACTGGCCATTTACCCTCATGGGCTCAGAGCCCATGTGTTAGCTTCTTATTGTCCACTAGGTGGTACTGTGAGGGGCCAATATTTGCAAGTTATCTTGCCCCTCAACTCCAACTTGTTTTGAGATTAGCAGACAGGTTTATCAACTAGAAAATCTTTTCAGGCTCCCAGGCATCCCAGGAGAGGGTACCTAGATCTCCCTCCCCTCTGCAACTATAACCTAGTCCAGTGGTCGGCAAACTCATTAGTCAACAGAGCCAAATATCAACAGTACTTCTTCAAAATAGACTCGCCCAGGCTGAAAACCGACTTCTGTGCATGGGCCATGAGGTTTCAATCGCACTGTAGGAGCGCGGCCGCACGTGGTATTTTGTGGAAGAGCCAAAGAGCCGCATGTGGCTCTCGAGCCGCAGTTTGCCGACCACTGACCTAGTCTTACAAATTGAGGAAGTTAGAGAATCTGGGATTCAGAGGGTACAATTTTTGGTCAATATTGCTGTCTCTCAAAACAGATAAGGAATGCATTTTTTTCTCCCTTGGAGATCAAAGAAGATGTTAAACAGTAGAAGTGATGGAAGTTATACTCCAAAATGAGTAATTGACTGAATGCAGGTAATGTAATTGGCTGAGAGGAGGAGAGAGGAAATGTTAAAGGATCTTTTGGGAAAGCAACAAGTCATGGAATTTTATTAAATTCAGAAAACACTTTTTTTTGGTTAATCCTCACTGGAGGATATTTTTCCATTGATTTTTAGGGAGAGTGGGAGAGAGAGGGAAAGACAGAGAGAAACATCGATATGAGAGAGAGACATCGATTGGTTGCCTCCTGATTGCCTCCCGAACTTGCCCTGACCTGGGCGGAGGATCGAACCTGTGACCTTTCAAGCTCAAGCCAACACTCTAACCACTAAGCAAATTGGCTAGGGCAAGAACATATATATTCTTTAAAGATTGAAAAATATAAACAGAACTTCAGAAAACTATAGGACAATATCAGAAATCTAATATATATAAATGTAATTAGAGTCGCAGAAGGAGAAGAAAGAAAGAATGGGGCAGAAAAGACTTTGAAAAAATAATGACTGAAAAAACTTCCCATGTTTGGTGAAAGACATAAATTTTCAGATAATAGAAGTTCAGCAAACCACATTTAAGCATATCACAGTCAAACTGTTGAAAACCAAAAATTAGAACCAATCTTGAAAACAGAAAAAAAGGACACATTATATACAGAGGAACAATGATTTGAATTACCATGGACTTCTCAACAGAAACTATAGAGATCAGAAGACAGTTTAAAGT